GTAACAGCCATGGTCTTAATCTCAGATGCTTCCTCCATCTGCCAAGTGTGTTCTGGATACACAGCACACTGTGGCTTCTGGGGTCACACTCAGCTGAGGCTGTGGGTCCACAGAGCACTCATCAGGCTGGGCTGTGGTGGTGGTGGCTCTACTCAAGAAGCAAAGCAGTTACCAGCACATTCAAACAGTGTATTGAACATCTTTTAAATATCAAAGTGAGAAACAAGAAGGCAACACAAGAATGTCATCAGGAAGATGTTAGGAAGTAAGAACAGCTGTGTAAAGCTTGTGGCTGGAAAGTGGCTTGCCAGCTTCATTTCTTCGGCTTCTTGGGTAGTGGGCGCCGGAACAGTAAGATGTGAGGTTCTGGTTCATGGATCATATAATGGACCCAACCCTGACTCTGTTGAACGCCAAGATTCCTCCATTCAGATTCAGACATCAAATGGGTTTTAGGGACCAGCTTGGCTATGTCCTTGGGCAGCATGACATGCCGATACTCAAACTCCTCGTCGTCGTATTTGTCCGAATAGTAAATTTGTTTGTGCGACATGATCGCTCCGTTTGCTAGCCTTCAGCCCCGTGCCGCCAACCTCCAAGCAACTCCTTTTTTTTTTTTTTTTTTTTTGAGATGGAGTTTTGCTCTTGTTCCCCAGGCTGGAGTGCAATGGTATAACCTTGGCTCACCGCAACCTCCACCTTCCAGGTTCAAGCGATTTTCTTGTCTCAGCCTCCCTGGTTGGGATTATTAGGCATGTACCACCACGGCTGGCTAATTCTGTACTTTTGCAGAGACGGAGTTTCTCCATGTTGGTCAGGTTTGTCTCCAACTCAGGTGATCCGCCCTCCTTGGCCTCCCAAAGTGCTGAGACTACAACCATGAACCTGGCGAGTGCTCGATTTTAGACGTTAACTATAGAAGAGGATTGAACTTCTCCTCCTACCCAGGCATATTCATACTGCCCATCCTCCCAAAATAATTATCTAGTAATCTGAGTTAGAGCTATACAGTGTCTTCATTAACACCACGTTCCTCTTCGGACCTGTGCCCTATAGTGACCTTCCTAATTTCTTCCTTTCTGAAAGCTTCCTTCCCCACTGGAACCAAAATTATAAAGGGTGGAGAAGTGGGTGGTTCCTTTTATTATATTTCTGTGACTTTACCATCAAAATCAACTGCAAATGGTTAACTTCTTATCAAAACCTCCTTGCTAATGCTAATTTCTATCAGGCATCCAATGAATTTTAATTTCTTGAAGCAATCGTTCCTGGAGCCTCTGAAGCCTGTTCCAATCTGGACTGGGTGCCTTGATAGTTGGCAAATATCTTCATCTTTAAGCTCACCGCTCTCCATTCCAGAGCATTCTTCCCTCCTCTCTTGAAATGAGAGGTTTCAAGATCTCTCATTTACTATAGCCAAGGCCTTTCCTGCTTTGATATTACTTAGCACCCTCATTTTGGCAGGGCTGGCATCCTGAGAAAGGGTAGGTGGGTGGTAACATTTCTGAGATCTCACTTGGCTAAGAATGTTTCTATTCAACCCTTGCACCTGGTTGATAGCTGGCTGGGCCTAACAGTCTAGGCTGGACGCAACCCTCCTCCAGGACCGTGAAGCCTAGCACTCCTGCCTTCCGCATTCACTGTCACCCCGTGCAAAGCTGTTCTGGTGGCCGGTGCTTTGCACGTGACTGCCGTTCTCCATGTCCTTGCTGTTCTAAGGACCCCTAAGGAGGCAGCCTTGGTGTGCATGTATTTTCAGCCACCATGCAGGGTATTCCGTAAGCCTTTCAACCCGGAAACATATCCATCATTTGAGGGAAGTTTTTAAAAATTATTTTGTCAAGTGTTACCTCCTCTTTGTTTTCTCAGTCTTCTCTGGAACATGCTAGACCTCCCGGACTAGTTCTTCTTTGGAAAAAAAAATTTTCCTTTATTATTTTTCCTCTCTTTGCCTTTTTATTCTTTCTGGGAGATTTTCTTAATGTTTTTCTTCCAACTTTTCCATTGAGTTTTCATTTCTACCATGCTTTAATTTCCAGGAGGATTTCTTGTTATTTTTGTTCCCTGGCTTCATACAGGATCCTGTTCTTGTTCCACAGCTGGGATGACATCTCTCTGAGATGACCAGGAGTCTCTTTAGAGCGGGCGCTGAGGCCTTCTTCTCTTGGAGCCCCTCTCCCATCCAATTTGCTCTTTGGCTGTTCGGTTGCTTTGGTCTCTATTCGCTTTCAGGCTGGAGGAATTCCTCAGGTACCTGGGACTCCTTGGTTGTCCCACTTGAACAGTGGAAGACTAGAGCTCACTGGACTCCGAAGCCTGTGTACTCTGACCATCGACAAAACCTCTCACTAGGCTGTCTGCTGGAGAATCTGACTAAACATCCTTACGCATCTCTTCGTGGGCAGAGGAGTCTCCCACTCTGTCTCTAAGCTACAGACCTGGCTACCTGTGGTTCTGAGAGCTGACTGAGGAGAAGCTGGGGGTGGGAAAAGCTCAGCATTCAAGAAGCCTAAATTTACCCAACACTCCTGTTTGGGTAAAACGCCCCACCTTCAACTGGGTGCAGGGTCCCTCATCCAGAAACGTTCAGTGTTAGTCTCTCCTGTGACTAGCACTCAAACTTCTGCCTGGGTGGTGGTGGCAGGCACTCAGGGGCATGAGGTGAGGGAGACAGCTGGTCTGTTTCCTAAACAGTTCTCAGTCAATTCTGCTTCTTGCTTTTACTCTCCCTATTCTCACTTCCAGGGTTTATCTGGTACCTGAACCTTTTGAGGATCCTGCTGGGTTAACTGGGTTGAGGCATCACCAGGAGAGCACGTGGGTGGCCTAAGGGTAATCACACTTTGGGCCTCAATAAGTATATGACATAATGTATACCCTGACTGGTGGGGCCTGTGGCATCGGGGTCACACATGCAAGATGCATGTTCTCAATGTTAAATTATTTTAAAACATGAAGATTTACACCATGGTCTTCAGCCTGGGAGTGGGGACCAGATTATAAGAAGACCGTCCTGGTCACCAGGAAAACCATGGGGATTCTGGTGTCTTTCCCGGCCCTGCCTCTTTCCTGCCCTATCCTGCACCGCGTGGCCCTCCTGGCTCTTCTTGGCACACTTATCCTGCCACTTGAGAACTGGCTTGAGTGAGCCAGCATCGGCGACAGGTGCTCACCCCATCCCTCAGGGCTGGAGTGACAGACAGACTGAGAACCACTGATGGAAACAACTGAACGTTAAGCTCCTGGCAGCAATGCAAAATCCCAAATATTCAAAAGGCTCCAGTGTAGAACTTCAAGTGCACCGGCAGGCCTACGAACAGGCAGGCTGCACCCTCCCAGATGACTTGTGTGTGCCCAACAAGCATCCACTTCCCCGTGAAGAGGGAAATAACTGAGGTCAATGTCTTTGGCTTTTAAAATCTGTCTTTAAGAACAATCGCTGCTGTTTTTATAAAAGAATTGCTGATTATAAAGAACTAAATATTGCAGAAAAGAATACAAGTGAAAGGTTTAAAATTACTCCAAATCCAATTATTCCTAAATTATCATTGCTGACATTAGGTGAAGATATTTTATATGCGTACAGAGAGAGGGAGAGAAATAGGTTTTATGAAAATGGGCTATTTCACGTGGTATTATTTTCAGAAAACACATTCTATTTTAATTTTTTTTTATATACAAAGTTTGCTATAATTCTATTTTAAATGTTTAGAATGTAAAGGGAGAAAAGGAAGCAGAAACTGAAGAAGTATTGAGCTTCAAAGTAAATCTTTCTTTACCACAAGAGTAAAGAAACCTTCAAGTTAAGACAAAGTTTATGGAAACATTAAGAGGTTTTACTCATTCTTTTAAAAACATACAACATGGTTCCATTTTAACAATATTTCTCGACTCTGCATTTTAAAAGTACAAAATCTTCTAATTCTTCACATCATTCCTCCTCCCACCTCGTGATTTTTATTAATTATTTCACTTTTACATTGCCCAGGTTTATAACGTTCACGGTCTATCCTGCAGCCACAATTTATAGTTAATTAGTATTAGTTTTATAGTTAAGTATTAGCTCTATACTTATTCGTTATATTTAGCTATTAGTTCTATCTTTAAGTATATTTTGGTATTTTGTACTTAAGCATATTTTAGTATTAGTTGTATATTTAAGTATTAGCTTTGTATTTAAGTGAATAGTTCAATGCTCACTACAGTCTTTACTTCCTGAGGTCTTTCTTGTGATTCATTCTCTTACTGGCTGGATTTTACTGTCAAGCAGTATTTTCTTCAAGAAGGGTTTCAAAGTGCCACACTTCACATGTTTTCTTCATGAGAGTGCTATTAGCTATGCTTTACTTAAATGACAACGTGGCTAGATAAAGGCTCTTGGGTCATTCTTCTCTTCAAAACTGTGCAGACCTTGATGCATTCATTTCCGGGACTAAAACCTACTGGAGATGGTCTGATTTTTCCAACTGAATGACCAGAGACTTGGCTCCAAGTTTAATAGTCTAAAAGGGCCAGGCTCTGGGGCCATCCTTTCTGTAACAAAGTTTCCTGAAATACAGTGTACTCTGAGGTTTTTTTCCTCCTTTTAGGGAAATAATCTCATGACACATCATATCTTGATTCTGCAGGCACCAATTATTCTGGTATTGGGATCGTCTTCTGTTCTCTGCATTTGCTAGCTTTTCTTTCATTGTTTAACACTTGTCTTTTTCAGATATAATCTTTGTGATTGGCTCAAGCATTGAGAACAATGATCGTATTTTTAGCTGATTTGTTCCACTCCTTAAAGTTTTAACTTATCTGTCAATAAATAAGTTATAATTCTATAATTATATGTTAATAGTTGTATTGTACATATATGGTATTGCTTGGGTTCTCGCTTGTTTGAAGACTGAAACCTTGCTTTTCTGGCCTTCCAACTGGCTCTGGTAAATCAGACTGACTACTGGTTCTCCTCCCCTGAATCTCTGATCAGCTTGTGTCCCCCTCCCCTCACCACTTACCCAGACCTGTGGTGGCTGGCCAGGTGTTTTGTGTTCTAGCTTATTATGCGGTCTCACAAGAGAATGGTGAGTGGAGGGAGAGCTCATCTAAGATATTCCCCGAGTCTGGTCTTTCTTCTGGGATTGTAAGTGTCCAATGTCAGGGTTTGCTCCATCTATGTAGGCAGCAGTCCCCAACCTTTTCAGTACCAGGGACTGGTTTCGTGGAAGACAAGTCTTCCACAGATCAGGGTGGGGAGGGGAATGGTTCCGGATGATTTGAGCACATTACATTTATTGTACACTTTATTTCTATTATTATTACACTGTAATATATAATGAAATAATTATGTGACTTACCATAATGTAGGATCAGTGGGAGCCCTGAGCTTGTTTTCCTGCAACTAGATAGTCCCATCTGAGGGTGATAGAGACAGTGACACATGAAATGTGTTGCTTATGTCCAGTCTACTCTGTAGTCTCAATTCGGTTGCTGTCATTGCAGTAAATCCTGCTTCACAAAGATAGGATGTTGGACATGAAAGCAGGCTTTTCAGTGTGTCTGTGGCAATCTCAGGATATTCCATGTTTACTTTAATCCAGAACACATGGAGATCTGAAGTCTCAAACATACTTTGAAGGCCACTGTGACTTGTGATCTCAAGCAGTTGATCCTCTTCCAGCATGGACAAAGTTGATTCACCTGCTTTATTCACAAATGGGTCACAGATCCATTCCTTCCCAGTTTGGGGGTCTTGTGGTTGGGAAGTAAAGCTCAAGCTCTTCTGAAAGCTGAGGTAGGTGATCATGCACCAGCTGGGAGAAAGAAGGCCCCGGCTCAATGTCTTTCACAATCTCTGCTCATGTTTGTTTGAAAAATGTCAGAAATCCCAGCGTTCACTCATCACCCCTGTAATTCCAGTTTGGTTTTGAATGCAGCCGCTTTAATCTGCCAACTTGAACACAGGTATCACTCTTATCTGCCGACTTGAACACAGTTGTCACTCTCCCCTGAAGTGACAGATCGAGTTTGTTGAGGTTTAGTATGTCACACAAGTAAATAAGTTTCATAACCTATATATTCTGTGTCACTGAAATGTGTTCTAGTAGTGACTTTTTCTAAAAGAAATCTCTGAAGTGGCTCTTGTAACTCAGAAACTCTGGCCAGTGATCCCCCTTTAGAAAGCATCTCACTTCTGTGTATCAGAGAAACTGTATGTGCTCTGCGGCCATCTCGCAGGGCTGCGTGAACAGACGTGAGTTAGGGCATACTTTAACGTGGTTGATAATTTTAATCACATCCTGCAAAATGTCGGTAAGTTCAAGTGACACTTTTTGGCTAGCCAGCACTTCTCTACAGATGACATACTGCATCAACTCACACTTAAGACGTGACCTCTTTGACCTGAGTAGTGAAACCAGAAAGGTGTCCAGTCACAGCAGCCACTGCATCCATGCATACAACACAAAATGACCAGTTTAGTTTCCCTAATATGTGATAATTCAAAGACTTGAAGAGCAGCCATGATGTTAGTTGGCAACTAAAGTGCACACAACATATCCTTATGCACATCCCTGTGAAAAACATGCCACAGAAAAACAAGCACTGTAGTCTTGTTGTCAATATCAGTAGACTTGTCAACCTGGATTGAGTATCACAGTGACTCATTAATTCTAACAGTTGTGTCTCAACATCCGCTGCTATTTCATCACTTCGTCTAGTTATGGCGCTGGCTGAAAGAGCAACATGTGCCACCTTTTGAACTACAGCCTCTCCTAAAAGCTCATGACAAATGTCCTTAGCAGCAGGCAGGATCGACTCCTCACCAATGGCCAGTCCTGGCTTTGGCACTAAGTGATTGGACAGTAAGAACGATGCTTTCAGTACAGACATATTTGATGAAGGTGTGGCCTTCAATAACTGCTTCTGCTCTTTGTGTTTATGTTTTTTAATTCTGAAAACTCCAAAGGCTTGTCTTTTAATGCAGGGTGCTTGGTCTCCATGCAGTGAAGCAGTTTTGAAGTTTTCACGGCTTTGTTGGATAGTTGGTCACCACATATTCTACAAAGTGGGCTTCGCAAATGTGGTCACCCGTTGCAATGACCTATAATTTAAGAAGGACTCTTGGCATTTTCTTTGAAATGCAGCTTTGTGTTGGCAGTCTTAGTGTCTTCTGCTGTCAAATCAATGGGTCTGTCCCCCTTTTCAAAGAAGTTCTCCAGTGACGTTTGTTTGTTTTTTACTCATTTTGGCGAGGGTTAGTGGGTGGGCTTACCAAAACTGTGGCTGAGACAAGTGCGTAGTGCAGGAAAGAGATGTGGGTGGCAGCGGTAAATAAAATGATGGGTGGGCCACGCACAGACTGAAGTAAGTGTTGGCTTCTGACTTAAAGCCTGCCACCAGATACGGCTGTCCAATTGAAGTACATCAGCTCACTTGCCACTATAAAGCCTGCCACCAGAAGCAGCCTAATTGTCGCTTGCCACTCACTGACAGAATTTTGATGAGTCTGCAAGCAACTGATTTATTATTATGGCCTCTATGCAGTCAAACCTCTCTGCTAACGTTCCACTGTGTTTGCAGCCACTGCCCAGCGCCTGCATCACCGTCTCAGCTCTACCTCAGATCATCAGGCATTAGATTCTCATCAAGAGTGTACAGTCTAGATCTCTGGCATGTGCAGGTGGAGCTCAGGAGCGGATGTGAGTGACGCGGAGTAGCTGGCTCTAAATACAGATGAAGCTTCCATCACTCGCCTACCACTCACCTCCTGCTGTGTGGCCTGGCTCCTAACAGGCCCACAGACCGGTACTGTTCTATGGCCTGGGGGTTGAGGACCCCTGTATTTGGGGATGGATATCATGTTCATGGGAGACCCTCCATGGACAGTTTTCCCCATTGAATATACTGTCCTGAGCCTTATGTCTATTAACGCTGTTTTTTTCACTTTTCCCATTTCACCAATTTCTACTCAGTAGGACATTTTACTACTCTTTGATCAGAGAGGAAAAAATAACAAGTCCCATTCAATTTTCTTCCTCCCAGACCTGAGAAACGCGACGAGATTTCCGGGTCTCGTCACATCCCGGGCTGTGAGCAAGAAACCCTCCACACTACTCCTGACTGCCGCCACTGCCGCTGCTGCTTCCCCTGCTGCCCTTGCTGAACTTTACAGAATTAGTTATGACCCTTTCCCTGCTTGGTTCCTGTTTCTCCCTACTTACTAGTCTTTTGCTCTGTCAGATAATTCTGTGTGGAAGTTTTGATCTACCGTCTTAACTCTGACAACTCTCTCTCTGTGTCTTAAGAAACTTATTTATCAGCTGGGCGCAGTGGCTCACGCCTGTAATCCCAGCACTTTGGGAGGCCAAGGTGAGCAGATCACCTGAGGTCATCAGTTCGAGACCAGCCTGGCCAACATGGTAAAACCCCGTCTCTACTTAAAAAAAAAAAAAATTAGCCGGGTATGGTGGCACATGCCTATAGTCCCAGCTACTCAGGAGGCTGAGGCAGGAGAATCGCTTGAACCCAGGAGGCAGAGGTTGCAGTAAGCTGAGATCGCCCCACTGCACTCCAGCCTGGGAGACAGAGTGAGACTCCATCTCAAAAAAAAAAAAAAAAAAAGAAAGAAAAGAAAAAGAAAATGTATTTATCTCTGTATTTCTATTACCGGATAAAATGCTGCACTTTGCTGAATAAATGTTGCTGAATTAAAGTGACATCACTATGGTGCGCATCATGAAAAACCAGAAGATTCTAGAATCTCGTAGTATTGCCATAGGGTTGTCCAGTACTTAGGAGTACACCACTTACATGCTTATGTATGTTTCATTTTGACCCAGAGAATAGTGAAACAAATCCAGACAGGATGTTAAAGACATCATTAGTATAAATGTCTTCAGAAAAAAGGTGAAATATGGGACAGAAGGGCGGACAAAACAGAAAAAAATGTACTGTACCAAGATGTTCACAGTGGTACTTTGGGAGTGAAAGAGAAAGCAGCTTTCTTTTCACTATTTTGTATATTTGGAGTGTATTACTCTCATGTGAAAAGACTGTAAGAACAGGAAAGCAAAGCCAGTGCAGAACTTACAGGGCAGGAGTTTAGCCCCCACAACATCCAAAATCCCAGCCAGATTTCCTTGCACAGGGATTCACTGTCCTAACAGTCGGCACACCATCAGGACCAGTGGCTCTGGCCTGCAGCCTGATGGGGCTATCAAGCGCAGTCCCGGGGTAAGAAGCTGCATGCGTGTGATGCCCGCAGGGATGGAGAACAACGCCGAGTGTCAGACACAATGGAAACCTATCTTCACACCTCACAGCAGAAAATGCTAAGGCATGCATCTATTTCTTGGTCCTAAATAAATGACTGGTGAATATAGCCAGGATTTCAATTTACTTAGGCCCAATTTTTCTCTGTATTATTTTAAAAGATACTTCTAAGTCTTAATTTTCTCAGTGAAATCAATGACTTTTGCTGCATGAAGATATACTTGGAGAACAAAAGCAGAGCATTCTCAACTCAACTGCCTTGATTTATTTTAAGACAAAAGTCAGATGCTGTGGCAGTATGCCTGCTTTGCTCTTACGATGACCAAGAGAGGTGGCAGAAATGGAAAAACACCCCTCACAGGGCGGTGGGCCACAGTCTCCCCACCAAGTGTTAACTTGCCAGGGTTCTGGGCACCCTGCTTAGAGGGAGCTCTAAAAAGAACTAATTTATGATTTTTATTCTCTTTGCCTATTATTACAAGATGCATATATATATATATATATATATATATATATATATACACACACACTCAAATTTACAGCTGTCTCTCTCACCGAATAAAAACCAACAAAACTTCTTAAAACTCCAGATAATCTCAAATTAATGTTTCCCATTTCATTTCCTTTTTCCCCACTATATATTTTACCCCTTGGGCTGTTTCTTCTGAAATCCTATTTCTGCGAACCCAGAACACTTGAATTTTCTAAATCATGATTATTTCCTTTTTCTTTTCATCTCCCTTTTAATTAGGGCCACATACTCTTTCTCAGCAACCAATGCAAATTCATTCTTTCTACCCCAGCTCCAAAACCCATTTTTAGTATGTTATTTCATGCTCTCCTTCCTCCAGGTCAGGCGTCTCCCGTCCCACCAGAACTGGATGCCGGCTCTGAGCCCAAGTTCCCTGCAAGGAGCACACATCCTCTCAGGGGTTCCCCACTCTGAGATCTACCTCAGTTCTTCTTTGCTTAAACTCTCCCCCATCCCCCACAGACATAGAAGGACAAATCCAACCATCTCCTTAACCATGTCTGATTAGAGTCTCTTGGAACTGAGGCCTTGCCCAGCCCTAGTCTGGATGCCGACCAGCAGGTGCTCACCGTCGTATACTCAAAGTAGTAAAGGCAGTTGTCAGTCAGGATGAACCAGCGTCTCTTCCAAGTCTTTACCCTGCCACCTGCAGAGCAAACAGAGATGTGCGTCCGACAAGAGAGAACCAGACGAGCGTGGGCTCTGCAACACACACAGCTCTCTCCTCAGAGATGGGGGGAGAGGCATCAGGAGAACGTGGAGACCACGACATCTACATCAGTAACAAGACACAGAGCCGAGACACAAGCATCTTTTACATAGTGAAAGTCTGTGGGTACAAGCAGAGCAAGCGCGTCTAGGTGACACCCTGGAGATGGAATCAGGACGGCAGGATGAGCATGGGTTTGGGAGGGAAAACCCAGGGGCGATAATGACACACAATGCAAATTTGCCAGAGTAAGCAAAAAGCCTACGTGGTAGAAATCGCCAAAGAACAGAAAAAGAGGGAAGGGTCAGCCCTAATGCAGGCTACTCTGCCACTGACAAGCAGCCAGCACATAGGAGTGTTTCACTGAAAGTGAAGGAAGGGGGAATCAGGAGGGAGATGCTGGGAGGCTTCACAAGAAAATCCATGCTTTCCTTGGAACATGGAACCAATTCCCATGGTTTTACCCTCTTCCTCATCTTCATGATTAGAGTGAGCTTCTACACTGGCTTTTAACCTTATGTCCTGAAAACACAATCTCCCGAGTCCTGGGTGAGAATCAAAGCAGAATTCCTTTATCGAGGAATAATCAACTCATACTGAGAGGCTGCCTCAGAAGTCTTTTCCATTTTGGGAAAAAACAGCTGGCAAATTCAGCTATGGCAAAACAAGCTCTGGCAGCGGCAGCTGAGAGGCTGGCAAGGGCCTCCCTTGGTTCTTTTTAGTATTTCTCAGTACAAAACGTTGGGGTCATGGCGGGTGCGGTGGCTCACATCTGTAATCCTGGCACTTTGGGAGGCCGAGGTGGGTGGATCACTTGAGGTCAGGAGTTCAAGACCAGCTGGCCAACATGGCGAAACTCCGTCTCTACTAAAAATATAAAATCAGCTGGGGGTGGTGGCATGTGCCTGTAATCCCAGCTACTCAGGAGGCTCAGGCATGAGAATTGCTTGAACCGGGAGGCGAACGTTGCAATTGGCTGAGATTGTACCACTGCACTCCAGCCTAGGTGATAGAGCAAGACTCCATCTCAAAAAAAAAAAGAAAAAAAAGGAAAAGTTGGAGTTGGGTCATAAAGTTATGCTGGGACAGATAGGAAGGAAGAAAAAAATGTAACCGCAGCTTATCTGAATGAAGCTACGCCTGCTGTCACATCAGGACCACAGGCTTTCTTTTCTTCCACCTCCCTTCATCAAGAGAAAATGTTCTGAACATGAACCACTCAAAAATTACCCCGATGGCCTTCACCTGTGAAGCTATGCATGGCATTCTAGAAACACTTCTTGTGCCCTGTCCTTTTGCTAAGACTTAATCTACAGACAACATCACTTCTCCAATCATCCTAAATGGCAAGGACCATGGGGCGTAAATCTCATACCCCTGATCATGATTTCTCTCTTGCCCTCATCACAAATAGCTGAGCAAAGAGGAGGGTGGTTTTACAGGGACTATTTCCAACTGCCAGGACCCGCCTGCATGCTCACACCAGAGAAACCTAAGGGGAGTATGTGAATAATGCTATGGAAAGAAAATGTCTACTGTAGGTCCTGGCAGACAAGTAAAAGGACCACTGGGCTTTCAGGTCTGTTTCGCACCCTGTTTAGATGCTGCACTCTAGGCGGGCTTACAAGACTGATCATTAATTGCCAAGATTCTAAATGACACAGATCGAGGTTATGCGAGGGTATCGCTGTAAGCAAGCACGTGCCATCTGTCTGCCCATCCTGTGCTGTATCAAGCAAATTGAGACTCTCTCCCTCCAGTGACTTGTGAGTTTCATGTGAGCCCTTGCCGCTGGTCCCTAAAGGTTAGATGGCATGAATTAAGAGAAAACCATCAATGGATACTATGACATGCATGTGGAAAACAAGAAAGCCTGGGCAGAACTAAAATAAATAAGGAGGATAAAGAAGACAAGGACTATATTCAGGATTGAAGCCAATTTGTTCTTAAAAAGGAACCCCCGCCAATTCAGAGTCTGAGAACTTTGGTCTTCCACTGGTTGCCCACGCAGGCTCAGCACAAAGGGAACATCAACCCATGCTGACCGCCCATGCACTCCATCACAGGACACTACCCGGTAACCCTTGGGACTTAGGAGATCATGGAAAAAGGGAGTCAGATGCTAAAAGGAATGAGATGGAAGGAAATCAAGGAGAAAAAGCAAAGCCGGAAGAAATTCTCTGCCCGATTACAAAAGCTTGGTTATTTTCTTTAGACAACTTGCTGCATTATAGAGACCTCTACCACAAAGCACCACTGTGGCCCCACGGGGAACATTTCCACGTGGAAAGAAAAACAAACATGGAACAAGCAGACAGATCAATGCGCGCCTAGGACAGTCCCTGTGGAACTCACAGGACCACCTCCCACTGCACGGCTCCTCAGGCCCTCCTGTGACCCCTCGAGGTATCAAGGCCAGATGCCATCTTCCCCTACAGCTGAGAACAACCTGGAAAGTCCTAAAACATCTGAGTGAGTGTCTATGTTTGGGGTTGTTCTTTGTAAGCGTAGCTACTGCTCAGGGAATGCTTAGGCACAAACCTGAGGAGTCTTGGGCTAGGAAAGCATGTTTCCCCAAACCAGCAAATGGAGAGGAGACGCCAACAACATAGCTAGGAGACTGATTTGGGGCTTTAACAAGGACTCGCTGAAAAAGCGAGGGAGCAAAACAAAACATAAAAACAGAGCCGAGGTTGTAATACCCTTCTCTGATCCCCAGAAAATTCAACACAAGGACTTCAGGAAGGGTTTTTCCGTTTGGATTTTTTCTGTTTTTTTTATACTTCACTCGGTATCATTTTGAATTTAGGAAACACCATTTCCCCTTTTCATGCAAAGGCAAATGTCTTAAGTGTTGTCTAATTTAATTCTTTCCCTAATTTGTGTTTCCACATGGTAAATTTGAAGCTTTCCATAGCTTTGGGAAGTCAAGACTTTGTTCTCTCTGGAGAAAGTCTCAGCCTGAAAAAAGAATAAAAAAGACTTCCTTCTCTTCTTTCTCCTCATCCCCACTTCGGAGATTAACTTTCAATCGGGTTGATTAACGGATGTCAAATTGAGTATCAAACATAGCGCATGTCTTAGCCAATAATTCCAAGTGAAATGAAGTGGAAACTTCCTCTGCTTTTACAAACCCACTCTTAGTATGTTTTCTTGCATTACTGCATTCAGTAAGGAATATAACATATACTCCTCCAAAAAGGAAAAACATGCAAATTGCCCTAAACCCCTGATCCTGACCAGTTCCCTAGGGACTGTACAGTAAGTTAGAAGCAGCAATAACACTACCACCGGCAATTAAAAAACAAAATAACCAAAAATAAGAAAATAAGAAAATGCTGCAGCAATGACAGTGGCCTAGGCAGAGCGAGCGAGCAGGGTGAGGGGTTACATACCTCCTGGAGTTTGGGGCAAGGAAAAGGAGAGCCAAAATCATGGAAACATACAAATGAGGGAGAAAAGAAAATTAAAACAAAGAAATTAAATCCGATTCCTTAATCTTAAAGTGCAATGTATCAGTCACATTCATGCCTGCCTGGGAGAGAGCTGAACTAAAAACACTAACTGGGTAAGTGATCCCACTACAGTCTGGCACAGGAACGAGGGGCTCTTATATGCTACGTCCCACTTCATCAAGGCAAGATTTGAGGCACTATTGGAAACCTGGCCCCAAAGATGCCACAAATCGGCTTTTACAAAGCCAACGTTTATTAGTATATCCAGAATCAGAGCAAAGAAAGCTAAGATTATTTCAGGGAAAATTAAATGTCTTTCTTTAGATGGCTGTCACTTTTTAAAGTGTGTGTGAGAATGCACACACATATACCCATGAATACACATGTACATATGTGTATACACAAGAATACACATTCTTATGTCTATATGCATACACAGACATATACACACAACTACAGATGGCTGGAAGCCCTGCCTTCTGCAGCACATAAACACAAGGAGTGATTCTAAGTGTGCTACAATGAAAAGACAATATTCAGAGTTTAGAAGGGTTTGATGGAGGTTTAGAAAAAGTAATGCAATGAGGTAAAACTGAGTCCCACACTTGGTTAAATTTTCTCTTTTTTAAAATATATCTGATGCCTCATGAATTTGCATGTCATCCTGGTGTAAGAACCAAGATAATCTTTGTACTGTTCTAATTTTAGTATCTGGGCTGTCAAACCTAACACTTAGTATTAGCATTTAAACAAATTTCACTGGAGGGGGAAGTAAATCCAAACTTGGACACACTTTAAACATTTCCAGTAGGTTTCCTTTTAACTCTATCCACTTGGCAATAAGAATGTGGAAGGGAAGGCTGCCTGTGGGGTTAGTAATTTTAGAGCCTTAACTTCAAATATTCTGCTGGCTTAGAGATATATAAAATGATGGCCAATTCAAGAGATATTTAAAACTGATGGTGAAGTGATGCTTTAAGGGGAATTTATGAATTAAGTCATTATGTATAAGCACAAGGACTTGGGATATGCCTTTAAAAGGAAATATAAAGTCTATTGTTATCTGAACTAGTCAAAAATAAAGGATTCCATTTTAGCCTTCCCAGATGTGTCAGTAATAGCCAAGAGAGTGCTGCTGTCTAATCACCAGAGTGAGCAGTTACGCTAATAGAGGCGGCAACAGCCCCTGCTAATGTGGGAACCCAACTCATCAAAGGCTAAGGCAGAAGGCAACAGAGCAAAGTACGCTTTCAGTGGCCAAAAAAAAGAATGGACATCATTATGTGCGGAGAGACTAGAGCTCTCTCCCTGTTCTGAAACTACTAATAAAATAATCACATGTGGACATGAATGTGCATGAAAACTCTACTAATGCTTTTCCTATTGATTACTCTATCACCTTCAGGGCATGACCACAAATCTCAGCAATACAAGCTCATCACTTCTGGCAGAGGGAAGAGGAATGCATTTTCAGCTTTTTTGAATGAACAAAATCATTAATGTGGCTGATTCGGATTGAAAGGAGGGGAAAAAAAAAACCGCTGCCCAAGAATGAGTAAGAGTGCTGTGGATTGCGCTGCAGCCAAGGGCTCTAGGCTTGCCATGCACACTGCCTGTGGGGGAGCCAGATGCAGAAGGAAGTGACGATGCACTGGGGCAGGGGCAGGAGTGCCAGGTACAAGTCTGTGTGATGGGAAGTAGAAAGATGGACAAGGTTGGCCACCCTCCCAATGGTTATGGGGACAGGGAAGGCAAATGGATCAGGTGCTCAGGGAAATGCCTTGAAACAAAACCTGGCCAACCAATTCAAGAGTGGAAACATGGAGCACAAAACACATGTGGGCAATAGTTACAGTGGAGTCAAGTCTGTTCCCAGTAGTCTCTGTGTCCCACGGAGGCAATGACTAGGAAGTCACTTCCTTTTTGGAAGTGGACCTTTGTTAGAACAGAACTCATACCAAAGTCTCTCTGGAATACCCCATAAGCCACCCCCTTTCCCATATGGTGTATGTGTGTGTGTGTGTGTCCATGAATGCGTGCACATCCGCACGCACACAAACACACGCGTGCGCGCGCACACACGCACACAGACAGAGAGAGAGCTTTCTTCCTAAGTCTCAGCTTTAGGAACCCTAACCCAGAGACATTCTTACCGAGTTTCAATAGCCAGCCTTCTCGGTCTGGGTTGAAGAAAGTGTGAGTGAGGTCATTCCCGTCATCTTCTGGGATTTTGAAGGGTTCGTTTTTTATGCTCTCATAGAGATTCTGGGATAAAAGATGACAATTCATGTTTCTGATTCTAGAAATATTTTTTCCCCTTTCTCTTAATTCATTCCACAAGCATTTATTATGTTCCTACGGTAAGCCAAGCCTGCTAAGTGCTGAGACTAGAAGAATATGACCATTTCTGCTTTCAGGTAGCTCACAGTCACAAAATAAGTAAGACTTCCCAGTGAAGAAAATAAAGACAGCAACTGAACTTCTATTCAAACCTTTAGTGTCATATTTACAAACCACTGTCCCTTTCCTGTTTCAGTAGCTGGGCCTCACTACCAATTTCTTCATGAAATTCACATGGTTAAATAAATTAAAAGAGGAGACCCTTGATAAATCGTATGTCTTTTCTTCCTTCCTACAAAACATGATCCTGTTCCCAGTGAACTCTTTCTTGGCTTGAATGAAGGCCACTCCTGCTTGCTTACCCGGAGTAGCTCCTCTGGCAGGTCTCCTCCATCATTGATGCCTCGATTCATGGCAATGAACCTCTCCACCGTGGGCTTATCTTTGACATTGGGGTTGTGGAGACTGGTGTTCAACATGATGATGGCAAAGGAGAGGACGTAACAAGTGTCTAAAGATGAGAGAAAAGCAAAGGGAAGCCGTTGTATGCTCAGATGATCAGAAACATCCCACCCACAAGAGTAAGAGACGCTAGATGAAATCAGAAATTAAAAAACCATGTTCTCAAAACAATGGGATGAATCCACACTCTCAGGCACAATGCTGTCTCAAAGGAGCAAGGCACAAAAAGCACATAAAGTATTCAAGACTTAAAGATGTTTATTTTTTTCAGATTGAAAAGGAGAACACACACACTGTAGAAAATATGAAAAACACAATGTATTAAAAAAATGCATATGATCTATAATGACCTCTCATGCCATTATCTAGCAGTACTTTGCTTTACTTCCTGTACGTAAATGTGTCTATGTATAAACACAGCACAAATTTATCTCACAAACATATACTGTAACAAAACTGGAAACAAACAGATACATATATATGCTTTTTTGCTAATCTTATTATTGTTTTCCTATGTCAATAAAAATTCTTTACAACAACATGGGTTTTTTTAGTTTTTGTGTTGAGACAGAGTCTCACTCTGCAACCCAGGCTGGAGTGCTGGGTACAATCATAGCTCACTGCATGTAGTCTTAAACTCTTGGGCTCAAGAGATCCTCCTGCCTCAGCCTCCCAAGTAGCTGGGACTACAGGTACAAGCCACCACACCTGGCTAATTTTTATAATTTTTTTTGTAGAGACAGGGTCTGATTATGTTTCCTAGGCTGGCCTCAAACTCCTAGCCTCAAGCAATCCTCTCACCTCGGCCTCCCACCCAAGGTGCTGACATTACAAGTGTGAGCCACCGCACACAGCTAAAACATGGTTTTTAATATTGGTGTATTTCATAGTTCAGAGGTACCACCACTTAAATTCCTAGTGCCTTACTGTGGGGCTTTTGGATTATTTCCAACATTTTATTATTATAAGTATTATTAAATAAATGTTTCTAGGCATGAATCTCAGCCCTTTGGTTTCAGAAATTATCTGGTGCCAAGAAAAGAATCCAGTGTAAAATGCCTGTCATAAACTAGGATGAATGATCATATTTACCCGTGGACTGGAACACGCCATTATTGCACTGACAGTATCGCTGGGCAAATGCCTCCATCATCCGGTCGATCTTTTGGGCCTCTCCCGGTAGCCGGAAGCTCCACAGGAACTGCCTGAGAGGGAGACGGAGTGTTCCAGAACTTGGGGAGACAATTTATTTCTCTGTGAATTGTTAAACTGCCAATGATTTTTTTTTTTTTTTTTTTTTTTTTTAAATACAAATTTTTTTTTTTTTTTTTTTTTTTTTGAGACAGAGTCTCACTCTGTCATCCAGGCTGGACTGCAGTGGTGAGATCTCAGTTCACTGCAACCTCCACCTGTCAAGTTCACGCAATTCTCCTACTTAGCCTCTGAGTAGCTGGGACTACAGGCGCGTGCCACCGTGTCCAGCTAATTTTTTGTATTTTTAGTAGAGACAGGTTTCACCATGCTGGCCAGGCTGGTCTCAAACTCCTGACCTTGTGAGCCACCGCCTCAGCCTCCCAAAGTGCCAGGATTACAGATGTGGGCCACTGTACCCGGCCACTGCCAATGATTTTTTAACATCAAAGTGCAAAGGGAGCTCCCTGAGCTTCAGCCTTCTGTTACTATAACTCTAACGAATGCAAAGTTGCCATCCACACCACTGTTATCTTAATCAAAAGTAAAATATTTCTTAGGAAAAAATGAGCAATTAAGATTTTCCTACTAAGGAACTGTTTCCCTCCTCAGAATAATACGCAAGACTGAAACATACATAACGGTCATTTTAAACAAATTCTATTTTCAGAAAACAACATGGGTGGCAAAAAGAGATGACTGTCTTGTCAAAGCATTAACAATTGATCCCTTTAAGTCAAAGAAAGACCCACAGCTGACAGGTTCAACTGTGGATTATTTCCATCCAGCTAAGTGATAGCACAAAAGATGATGTCATTATTTACACCTACAGCAGTGAAAAAACAGAATGACAGTTTCTTAAAAGGCAGAAAGTAACAGATTTAATAAAAAATTAAAGTTTACTTTTTTCTTTCCAAAATGAAATGCACAACTACTTATTCCAGGGCAGGAAATTAAAGGATTTTCTAAACCGAAGATGAAAAATTTCATAATTTAGTACTGAATTTCTAAAACCTCCAACGTAAGACTCAAGGAAGTGTGTTAGAGAATCTGCCTCAGGACATAACAAGATAATTCCCCTTGACCACCCAGTCATTTCTCATCAGAGACCAATAGATTTCTTACTTCCCAAATACCTCAAGATATTCAAAATCATACCCAAAGATAGAATTTCAATAAAATGCCCCCCAGGACAGACTCATGATCAAAGGCTGGCCTCCCAATCCTTCCAAAGGTGCTCACCTCAAGAATACTCACCGTAGTGCCTGGACGAGATTAAGATCAGTGAATTCATGCAGCTCCACAAATGCATGAAGAACCTGGATATTAAAGTCATCTCTATAGAGAAATGACAAAGAATGGGAGAGAAAGCAGGAGTCAGACACCGACCCTGAGAATCTCCAGCCAGGCCAGGTCTCCTGCACTGCGTCCTATAGTCCTACAGCTGCCCAGACAGCCACTCACGAACACGGTCAGCAAGAAAACTGGCTAGCTCTGTTGACAAGCAAGATGTCCCCCAGGATCCCCAGACAGACCAACCACTCTTCCCTGAACAGCCTCCCTCAATACCAGTGTGGCTACAGATGCTTTAAGGCAAAAATCCCTCCAAGACCTTAAGGGTGTTTGGGAGTTTGTTTCCTTGTGTAATCCCTGAACAGCCTTCCCTAGCATCCGCATATCCCCAGGGCCTTACCTCTCCCCTAGGTAGTCACCAATGGCTGTCTTGTTGAGCCCTTCACCTTTATATAAGAACTGGGCAATGTCTTCACAAGTGTTCTTCAGCAGGTCGTTCTCTATTAAGAACTGGATCCCCTAGAAAAAGACAATAAAGACGCCAATGATGCTGTGCTGGGAACCAGCTAAAAAGAAGGGGAGAGGGCACGGCAAGAAATGGGTGTGGGTGCACTGGCATATTTAATAAATACCTGCTAATTGACCTAAAAAGCTAGGGAGTCACAGTTTAGGAACCAGGGCTTAGCACAAGACGTCTGCTCTACAAAACGGTGACATAAACTGTAACACTTGGAAAAAAACATCTTTAGGGTCTATCTAAGCACTATAAAAAAAAAAAAAAACCCATCTTAAAGATTATGGACCTCTTCCCACTTCTTTCTCACTTACCTTTTTAGGGTCCATATTAAATTTTTTCCTGCCCATGGCTACCTGTTTGTTCCTCTGCATGTTTTTCCTGTAAAACAACCATCACAGGCATTTTAGTACTTCAGGCCACTGGAAAGGCTTGAAAGACTAATACCATTTCCACATGCATCCACTGATTTACACAGATTTTTGAAAGATTTATCCAGGAAAACAACAGGTATAATCTGGTGGAGCTACGAAAGGTCAAATGAAACCTGATGCATGAACCTGGCTCCATGCTCATTTGCTCCTTCTACCTAATCAGAGGTTTTCTTTTTTTTTTTTTTTTTTTGAGACAGGATCTCTCTCTGTTTGAAGGGTGAAGTGCAGTGGTGCTGTCTTGGCTCAATGCAACCTCCCTCCTGGGCTCCAGTGATCCTCCCACCTCAGCCTCCCAAGTAGCTGGGACCACAGGTACTTGCCACCATGCCCTGTTAAATTTTTTTCTTTTTTTTTGGTAAAGATAGGGTCTCACAAGCTGGTCTTGAACTCTTGGGCTCAAATGATCCGCCTGCCTTGGCCTCCCAAAGTGCTGGGATTACAGGTATGAGCTACTGTACCCGGCCAGTTTTCTTTTAACATGATTTTGTAAAAACTTTATCAGGGTATATAATATTCCCACTGTAGGTATGTATTTGAATTTTAGGAAACTGACTAAGTTGTGCGACATCACCACAATCCAGTTTTAGAACATTTTCATCTCCCTACAGAACCCCTCACACCCTTTTACAGTTTGTCCTCGCTTCCACTTCCATCGCCAGGCAACTCTTCATCTATCTGCTGTCTCCACACATCTGCCTATTCTGGACATATCATATAAAGAGAATCACAAAATATCTGGATTTTCAGATCCAGCTTCTTTCATTGCATAGTGTTGTTAAGGTCATCGTGCTGGAATGTGGGCCAGTACTATACACCTTCTTGCTGCTGGATCATCTTCCATTGTATGGATAAACCACATTTGCTTATCCATTCACCAGATGATGGGCACGTAGGCTGTTTGTGGTTTGGGATGATTATGCATAAGGTTGCTACCAGCATTTGTGTGCATGTCTTTGTATGGACACATATTTTCATTTCCCTTGGGTACATACCCAGGGGTGGACACTGCTGGGTCATATGGTACATTTATATTTAACTTTTTAAGCAGCTGCTAAATAATCGGCACTTTCCTTGACTGTATCAGAATGAAAAATGCAATTTCTCAGACCATGCTTCTCAAAATATGGTACACCAACCAGCAGCCTTGGGAGCATATCAGACATGAAGAATCTCCGCTCCTGCTTATACGTATGTATCACGTGGGGCCTCATCAAAACAGATGCTGACCCTATGTCTGAGAAGGGGCCTTCTATACGTTTGACACTATCCCATGTGTGGAATCTGAGTAGAAAGGCCCTGGACTGGCTGAGTCATTCACAAGTACAAGGGGCAGAACCCAGGAATTTGCATTTTTAAAACCTCCAGCAGTAATTCTGGTGTGCACCCAAATTTAAGAACCACTGCCATCAATAGTAATTTTATAATCTCTGAGAGCAAAAAAGTTGCTCAGAAATAAAATCATAAAATATTATTGTCTTGAAGAACACATGTATTCTCTGGCTAAATCCATGGAAGGAAGAAAATACTTCTAAGCGTTTTGAGGGTTGGGTTTTTTGTTTTTTGTTGTTGTTGTTACAGGCAGGGCCTTGCTCTGTCACCTGGGCTGGAGTACAGTGGTGTCACTTTGGCTTAATGCAACCTTCAACTCCTGAGCTCAAGTGATCCTCTGACCTCAGCCTCCTGAGTAGCTAGGACTACAAGCAGGTATCACCACAACTGGCTACTTTTAAAAATATTTTGTAGAGACAGGGTCTTGCTACGGAGCCCAGGCTGGTCTTAAACTCCTGGCCTCAAGCAATTCTCCCAACTTGGCCTCCCCAAATGTTGGTATTATAGGTGTAACCCATCAAATCCAGCTGGTTTTGACCTTTTGAAAGGAATGCTTAAAAACTGTGAGTAGTATCAGAACTTCCAGGTGTTAGATAATCTGGGATCCCTTGTGAACAGCTACCTTAGGAAACAAAGTCACAGGGTCACAGGGAAGCACCATTTAATTTCAGCCAAAATGAAGGATTATAACCAGCTATCTAGAAATTCCTATTTAACTAAAATAATTGTCTAATCATTTTTTTCTAAATCCAGGAAGATAACTTTGATCAGTATTTCCAAACAAATACCACAAGGAAAGGCCTGTTTCATGGTTTCCAGTGTAAGTGCGGCAGCATCAGAGGGCCCGCAGAAGGACAGGGTGAAACCACTGGGAATGTTCAACTTCCCGGGCCTCAGTCTAGTCCCTCACCACAGGCTTTCCTGCCGCCACCGGAATGCACACTCCCAGATCTCTGCCGGTCACAATCTGTCCACATGACTGCCTGGACACACACCGGAGATGGCTCCCTCATTTCATCAGCTAGCCAGCTCACTTCATCTGCCCCACTTGGAGCCCCTATCACTCCAGTCTCTAGGCAGCAACTTCTCTAAGAGGCTTTCTCCAGTCTTTGCAAAGGGGCTGACACCCCAGTAAGGTGTCCAAAGCAAAATAGCTGTTACTGCTACTAGATGGCCAGTTAACTGATGTGTATACATTCCAGAAAGTTAAATCTTGTACTATATGAGTATATTATTTCTGCTTTATTAAACAGTATTTAGAATCGCTCCTACATAATGTTGGCATCAGGTAGTTGATGAGAAACATGAATTCTCTCCTGCAGTAAAGTCCGAGCAAATATAATACCTGGTTGAGAAACAAACGCAGGGTGAGCCCGAGTGCCCATACAGATGGATCCTCGGGGATCTGCAGAATCACTTCCCTCTTGAGGCTTTCGATACTGGAAATTCATTTTAAGTTCCAGATTAAAAAAAAAATAATAATAACCTAATGACCACTCCCTGACTCACAACTTCAGATGCCATTCATTAGTGACAAGACTTCACAAATTCACTGGCTGAGTACTTTGGATGCTGAGGCACTCAAATTCCTAGTGTCTGCATTTCCTTGCTGTTTTATGGTAACTGACAGAGAACTGATCAAGAAAAAAACAAAGGGCACACTGAATTCTGAATATGTGTGTGTGGACACCAGAAGAGACAGAAAGGAAACATACCAAAATATGAATCCTGATTATCTCTCGGATGAGTGTTTATGAGAAATTTGTTTTTATATTTTTCTGTATTTTACCAATTTTTTACAATAAAAGTATATTGCCTTTATAATCTGAAAAAAAAGCCATTTTTAAAAACATTTTTAAGATCAAGGTAAAATTTACATTTAACAGAATACACGCATCTTAAGTGTACAGTTCAATTTGTTAAGTGCATATACCCTTGAAGTACCACTCATATTAATACAGAATATTCCTGTCATTCCTGTAAGTTCCCTACGGCCCTTCCTAGTCAACCCTGCCCCACCCAACCCCAACAACCACCTTGAGGGCAGCCCCCTGCTATGATTTTTGCCACCACAGCTTAGTTTCTCTGTTCCACACGCTCATGCATGGAAGCACATGGTACCCACAGTGTTTGTGAGATTCCTCTGTGCTGCCGCACCTTAGTAGTTCCTTCCTTTGCACTGCCTATTACTTCCATCTATTTATCCATTCACCTGCTGGCAGACATTCAGGGTTATTTCCAGTTCCTGGTTATTTTCTTTAAGAATGCTATAGATATTCTTGTACAAGTCTTTGTATGGACACGTTTTCATTTCTCTTAAGTAACTAGGAGTTGAATTGCTGACGAAACTGCCAAACTTCTTACCCAAATAGTTACACCATTTTATTCTCACTAGCACTCGCCAACATGCAGTGCCACCAATCTTTTTAATTCCGGCCATCCTAGTGGATGTGAAATACCATTTCATAGTAGTGTTAAACTGCATCCCCCTACAAGTAATGACATTAAGCATTTTTCATATGTCTACTATACATACGGCTTCTTTTGTAAAGTGTCCAAGTTTTTGGCCCATTTTTTTATCTGGGCTGCCTTTTTTATCATATATTCTAGATACAAGTCTTTTTTCAGATATGTGTGGTACAAATATTTACTCCTAATCTGTTACCTGTTCATTTCTTTTAATAGTTTATCTTTTATATAAGTAGAAGTTTTAAATTCTACTTTAGTGTATCCACTTTATTTAAGCTACAACTAAGTAAAATGGAAACAGGGTAAACTAATCCAAAATACCAAATGGGCAACACAGAGACTGGCCATGGTGAGCTGGCCACCTTCTGTGGAATCCTCAGCCTCACTAAATCCTCATGGCACTGCCCAAAGGAGTCTAAAACAACAAATCAAACAGTCCTATGAAGCCAGACAGGAGTACTTAGGCTTAGAAAAATACAGACATGTAGTGAATTGGAAACAGCCCATTTATTGTATTAAGCAGTCAGAAAACGGTCTAGGAACCCCATTCAAAACTAAACTCTCAAAGTCACTAGCATTTCATGTAAATAAAAGAAAAAAAAAGCAAAGAGTCCTTGTCCTTTTATACTATCATTGCATTTCTACATTTTCTTCCCTTAAGCATTAGGAAGGTGCAAATAAGCTCGCGATTATACTCAGACATGACTGGGCACTCCAGCCCTTTGAAACTGTATCAGCAGCACTCATTAAGCTTTTCCTTTACACAAGGGAAAAACAGAAACTTTAACATACACACACAGTGGACAACAGAGGGGAGTAATTCACATAAAAATTTAGGAGCAGTTTAAGGCTTTCTGGGACCTTTGAAATTCTCCAGTTCAATTCTTTTTTTTTTTTTTTTTTTTTTAAGAACAAGTCTTGCTCTATCATCAGACTGGAGTGCAATGACATGATCTCGGCTCACTGCAATCTCTGCACCTCCCAGATTCAAGCGATTCTCCTGCCTCACCCTCCTGAGTAGCTGAGACTACTGGTGCACGCCACCACATCTGGCTAATTTTTGTATTTTTAGTAGAGACGGGGTTTCACCATGTTGGCCAGGATGGTCTCGATCTCTTGACCCTGTAATCCGCTCACCTCGGCCTCCTAAAGTGCTGGGATTACAGGTGTGAGTCACTGCTCCCGGCCTTCAGTTCAATTTTTTAAACAATGAAAGAAGCTCCTGTGTTCCGGAGGCCTTGCGTGAAGGATGGAAGGCAGACATTATGGGAGTATATGTGCTTGCTTAGGACTAGAAAGACACAAAGCTGACTTCTTCCTTCAATGTGCCATGTAAGGGTAATTAAGGGCTGGATGCTTTAAGAAAGTACAACTGCAAATGCCACCTAGCAGCAGGGCAGACTCACCTTTCCTCTGTGGATCCCAGGGTTTCAATCTCATTAGCTACTTCTGCTATCTCATCCTTCAGCCTCTATAAAACAGACAGTCCAGAGTTAGCAGGAAAGGGAGATGCAGAACAAATTAAACCCTCTAAAATCTCACATAACTCCCTCCAACCAAAAACAAAATAAAATAAACTAAAATGAAATATGACAAAAATGCAAAAAAGTAAATTAGGAAAATTCATCTGTTTCAGAAATATTTGCTGGGCACGGTGGCTCATGCCTGTAATCCCGGCACTTTGGGAGGCCAAAGTGGGCGGATCACAAGGTCAAGAGTTTGAGATCAGCCTGGCCAATACGGTGAAACACATCTCTACTAAAAATACAAAAATTAGCTGGGCGTGGTGGCAGGTGCCTATAGTCCCAGCTACTTGGAAGGCTGAGGCAGAAGAATCGCTTTAACCCAGGAGGCAGAGGTTGCAGTGAGCTGAGATCGCGTTATTGCACTCCAGCCTGGGCGACAGAGCAAGACTCCATCCCTAAATAAATAAATAAATGAAATATTTATTGAGTTCCTACCAAATAGTAAGCATTCTAGAAAATACCAAGGTAGAAAAGGATACAGCTCTGACCTCAAAGAGTTTACAGTCTAGGAAAGTTTATAAGCATATATATTATGTAAAAAAAAAAAAAAACTGGCTGCCTCATCACAATCTTTCAGAACAAATCTGCAGCTTACTAAACACAAGTGTGCCAGAAAACTCAGGACAAGTCTCCTGCCCAAAGGCAAGACGCAGAGCCAGCAGTAGCTGAGCCAGGGCAACACTGCCACCACGTGGTTGGCAAAGGGAATGTCCGATGAAATCGACTGCATCCACACCCACCCTCATCTCAGCACACCCTTGGTCCAGATGGATGGACTCTTTTTCACTGGGAAGCAGGGCTTAAGTGGGGAACTGCTCAGCTTTCTCGGGATCTACCAGTGAAGCAGAAATCAAAGGATCAGGGAGAACTATCAAAATATACTCAAATCAACTGTGGAGCAAGTCAAGTCTTTCCTCATTTTGCTACTTTGGGTAACAGGATTCCCTCTTTAACACCACTCCTAATGTTTTACAAAGAATTCTGAAAGAATAACATTTGATGCCTTAGGGTGAAAATAATCCAACTATTGGCTTCTAGACTTAATTCTTATAAAGCTGGATAATTATGAAAAGGAACTTGGAAAAACAGTAAAATTGCTATCACTAAGTCTATCCACAGGTACCAGAAATAATGCTGTCTTTTATGCAAAGTCCTCACAACAACTGCATAGTAGGTGTTTTCATGATCAGACAGATGAAGAAACTGAAGTTCAAGAAACTGGAACTCTCTTGTCTCAAATCATTCAGCTAGAAAGCAGCAGAGCCAGGGCTGGGGCAGCAGCCAAGCTTCACCTGAAGCCCACATTCTCACTGCCTCTCCTCATCCACTCTGCTCCACGAGGGCAAACACAGCAGAGAGAATGCTACTCAGGAGACAGGAGTCCTACAGGGTATCTCCATCTCTGACAACTGCCCGACTGGGTGAACCTTGACAAACCATTCAACCTCTGATTTCCATCTACTCACTGGAGAGCAAAGGCGATACCAACACCCACACTTTGGGCAGAGCTGTAGTGAGAGCAGGTCAAAAGTGTCTTAAGGAGATGCTCCGCAAAGGACACATTTTGATACAAATGGAACTGTCACCACAGTTCTTACACTGGTGACACCACCGTGCTTCTCTCCTACCTGAATGTCAGCCAGCAGCTCCTGTTTTCTCCGTCGGATGTTCTCCAGTTCTTGACGCTCCTCTGCGGTCAGGTCACTGGGAACTACAAAAATGGAGGGAAATGTTACTAAGAAAGCTTTTATCTCACCAAAAATAAAGTATGATCCAGAGGCCGTGAAAGGAGAAAGATACCAAGAAAGAAACTAGAAGCTAGTTTCAGAAATGACTCAGTGATAAGAGTTATGGCTCCAGTTCTCATCAGATTTTCTAAAGAAAGGAAGGCCCTTAAATCCCACAGGAAATCTCTGAGAAAGGAACTCTTGGAAGGAAAAACAAGAGAGAAAAGATTACAAAGGTTAAATTAGGTTGGCTATGAATGAAAAAGGGTGAATATTAGCTGAGTGCCTGGCCATTTTCATCCCTTCCAGCTGGGAGACTTCACGTTGACATTTAATTAATCTCTCTAGGCCTCAGATCCCTCATAGTCAAAAACAGAGCAGTACCAGGGCTCACTGAGTTGAGCCCCAACATGGAAAGATGTCCATGACCCCTTGAGGTGAGGAGGGGAGGCAAGTGGCAAAGCAACATATATAATTTTGTGCCACCTCTGGGAGGTGTTTGGAGAAAGAGACTATATATGCGCTGAGAAAAAAAAAAAAACTAGAATATACACCTAAAATCAGTGCTTAACTCTGGGAACTGGGATTACGGGACTTTCTCTTTCCGCTTCACATCTTTCTTCATTGTTTGGATGTTTTAAAATGTGCTCTTATCATCAGAGCAAAGTTATTTAATTCCCGGATCACAGCTCCCACCACAAAATACTTCTGCAATCCTCCAATGGCTCAATCTCCCCCACTTATACAAAGAGGAGATTTAGACAGACACCCTCTAAAATGACCCTCTGAGCATGCTATGGGAAGCCATGTGGGCAAATGGGAAGAACAAGCATTAGAATCAAGCAAACAAGGTTCAAATCCTAGCTCCAATCTACCAATTATCATATTAGGTCACTTAAGACAACTTATGTAACCTATTTGAGCCACATCTCATCATCAATAAAGTGGCGCCACCGTCACCCACTTGAAAAGGCTGATGTGAGGATGATGGAGACTAATTAAAGTGCCTCAAACCCTGCCTGGTTCTGAGCAGAAGCTCAGAAGTCTTGGCTCTTGTTCCCTCTGTGGCACAGCAAAGGACACCCATGCTCCTAAGGCAGGGCGTGGTGTGAGAGTCCTTCTGTCCTTCAGTGGGTGCCTATGTGAGCTAGAGCTGCACTGTGCAATATGGCAGCCATGAGCCCCATGTGACCTTAACCACTGGAAATGTGACCACCCAGTTTGAGATGTGCTGTATGTATAAAACATACACCAGACTTTCTATAAAAACAAAGGAAATGTCTTTTTAATAATATTTTATATTAATTACACATTGATATAACTCAATAAAATGTATTATTTTAATTGATCTCAAAGGAACTACTATGAAATAAAAGTGCATCTATGGCTTTCTACCAGACAGCACAGAGTTGGAATAACATCTCTGCTTCAAAGCATAGTTAGGATACGCATACTCTCCCTTCTGCCCATGGCATTCAAACTTAATCTACTACATGCAGAGAGCAGTTACTTTCCCCAATTATTTCACAAAAATCACCACAAGAGGGTAGAAACAATAGGCTACAGTGAAGCCCACAGAATGGGTTAATCAACCACATTAGAAAAGCCGACTTTTAGGCCGGGCGCGGTGGCTCAAGCCTGTAATCCCAGCACTTTGGGAGGCCGAGGCGGGTGGATCACGAGGTCAAGAGATCGAGACCATCCCGGTCAACATGGTGAAACCCCGTCTCTACTGAAAATACAAAAAAAAATTAGCTGGGCATGGTGGCGCACGCCTGTAGTCCCAGCTACTCGGGAGGCTGAGGCAGGAGAATTGCCTGAACCCAGGAGGCAGAGGTTGCG